CACCCTCGAAACCCATTTCTTAGTTTGTATGGCCATTCCAATATCGCTGCTGGCAGACTTATATCTATATCTATCTATATATACCAAGGCTTCCCCTTGACGATATATACGTGAGGAAGTCATTTGTAGTGTCTTTTCTTTCTGTAAAACTCAGAATTGTTGATTTCTATCTTGCAGATCCCTTGAGTTGCGCTTTAATTCTCCGGCTCCTTAATTTGTCCATCTGAAGGTAATATATGGTTCCATGTTCTGGATGTGATCTCCATCTTTTTCTCTACTCTATCCTTTCTCTTTTCACAATCTCGACTTTTTCTTTCATGGAAAGTAAAACTAGGGTTTTGATATAAGAGTTGGTGGATTTTTAAATGATTTATTATGATTATTGTTTCATCGATTTGGGGTTTTTTCAAGGAAAGTGAACTTAAGGTTTTGATTTCTTGGTTGATCTACTTTATAAATGATTCTCTCATTAAAAAATTTAGAATCGATAAGATGAGCATCAGATCTAATTATAAGAAAACCACATCCCATTATTTTTATGATTTTTCTTACATTTTATTTTCTTTAAGTTTTTTTTGTTTTTGTTAAAATTAGATCTGATCTAAGCTGTGGTTTTTCTTTTTTGGAAAATTATATACTCAATCCTATAGGGATGTCTTGGTTGTGTTGAACGCAGCTTAGGAAGATCCAAAGCAAATTTACACCGGCTGCTCCTAGAATACAACTCGATCGAGGGCGATCAAATCAGGACCACGATGGAGCAGAAGGTGTATGTTCACAATGGAAAATGGTGCCATATCTATGATCAGGTATCAATGAAAAAAGCTTATATAAATAATGTTAATATATATATATATATATCGGTTCTTGGGTTATTAAATCTTGGGATTTGGAGTGGAGTGGAAGTTATTTTGAAACAATTTAAAGTGATTTTTGAATGTTCTTCTTTTCAGTAACATCTAGGTAAATCAAGTAAATCAAGGTTAAAAAAATCCAAAAACCAAAAAAGATGGCTTATAAACGTCATGAGGGCTCCATATCTCATCTGACAGAGAAGGAGTTATCACCGTCAATTCCCCGTTTTTTCCATGTACTGAATGATGCTCATGTCTTACATGCACTGGTACTCTCTCATTCATGTTGAATTTTTGGACTTCTTATTCTTAACCTTTGGAGAATGCTGCTTGTAATCACATTGTAATATGTAGTGTCTATTATTATGGGATGTAAACATAGTTTGGCGAACAATTATTGAACTTTAAGTAATTTACTACATTACACAACTATCCTCTCATCACCCCCACAAACTTGTTGGGTACTAAGTTTTATAGTTTTAGGATGTTTGTTTAGTAGCAAAATTGTTGATATGTGTAGATGAAATTCTTTTATAATTTCTGCAATTTTTATAAAGCATGCATCCTTGTAAAAAATTTAATATTTTTGCAGCGCTTGCCATCTTCATTTGCTCCAAAGGTGGAGCACTTGGTGGACCAAGAAATCCTCCTTGAGGATTTATGTGGGCAGATATGGCCTGTGACTCTATCATATGTTGACAATGCATTATCATTCGCATTGGGATGGGAAATATTTTATAGGGACCATGCTCTTGAGGGGGGATGTTCCTTGATATTTAACTATGTAGGAGAGAGGCACATGTCTGTTCAAATATATGATCCAAGTGGTTGCGAAAGAACTTGCTTCACCTATCCAGTGCGACAACTGAACAATCAGAACTGCTATAATGTTGGGGTTGAGGAGATTTCTGAAATGGGATCAGCTCCTCGAACTGCAGCCATGGGATGCCTCAAAGAAAGGGAGTCTCTATTTCCGATATCCATAATGGTGAGATAACTTCTACCTCCCTACTTATTTCCTCTAGTTTTCTAACGTTAACAATAGATTCAATGGTATTTTGTTTTCGTAAATTGTCCTATTTCTTACATTTGTTTAGTTGCTTTAGTGAATAGGCTAGTGTTTATTTTCGTTTGTTCTCATGAGTAGCAGTGGTTGGTCTCTAAAATATGAATGTGCAAACAATCTATTAAGAGTTTGGTCTTGAAACATGAATATTGTAGCTATTTGCGTGTATGTTATTTTCCTTAACAGTTATAATCTGAAAATTATACCTTATGAAGTTGCATATGGGGTTTATTTTATGCCATGGTATCAATCAAAGCCAATTTTATATTAATCTTATAATTTGTTAGATACTATAAATGAGAAACGATATGGAAAAGGAAAAGGGAAAGAGAAAGAGCCAATCATAGGAAGGAAACTGATCCCTGCTAGCCCAAAGATGCCTCCCCCTGGAATACTTTTTGCTTTAGTTGTTTCCCTTATATTTGATCTTTGAAAGAATTTTAAATTCTTGCATTTGTAATGAACGGAGTTGACATACTCTCTAGATATTTTTATTACTATGTGCTTTATGTCTTATTATCTTATTAGTTTTAACTACATTCGAGGAAAATAATATAAATTGCATGTCATATGGCTTTCAATATTTTTTAGTTTAATATTCCATCTCAATGGTTTAGGGTTTGGGAAGCCGATGGGAGGTATTGCCAAGGAGAAAATGGGTGCCTCCGGGCAAGTAATCCTAACGAAGGTAGAACTTGTGCATGTAAATCAAGAAATTTGTTTGGAAGAGGAAATGGATGCAACCCCATCTGCAAATGCTAGCCACTTATCAAAGGACCCTATTAGCCCACCGCCCGCCCGTATAGTGTTTGCTTTCTTTATTTCACTATTAATTACATCCAATCTTTTGAAACATTCTAAATTCTTGCATTTGTAACGCAATAGAGTTGACACATTCAGATAGGAGCTCTATGGATCTATTCAACTGTAAGTCTTTCCCCTCCCAACCACCTGGATTTTAATATCGGTTCTGTGCTTAAAAACATGGTGTTGTGTGCATTTTTTTCTTAGAAGATGTGAGAGATTTGTGTTTTATTTGATCAAATGTGTGCTTGTTTATATGGGTTATGAATTGCTGGAATTGATCTATTTTGCTTTTTTGGCCATTGGGTTATGTTGTAATTAAATTTGAGTCCTACTGGTATTGATGTGTTTTATTGTTTTTTATTTGTTGGAATTGAGCCATGCTGCTTCCCATTTGTTGGTTTTGTTGTGTATTATTTCTCATTTCTTGGATATTGTTGGATTTATTTGAAGGCATAAAGTAGTATGGCTGGATTAATTATATAATTTGAAGACATCCTAAATTGAAGTAAATTATCTATAAAATGAACACAACCCAATTTATTTATTTATTTATTCATTGTGAATTACATTGTTTGATCACCTAATCTATTTTTGATGGTACAATTCTTTGTCAATATTATTCTTTTTCTCCATTTTAAAAACTATTGTATTTTAATGAGACAAATATACTCCTACGATTAAAAAAAGGTGGGTGTAATAGTATTTATGTAAAATAATTATAAACATAAGAGTATGTTTAATACGGAGTGTTGTCTACAATTACTAAAAAAAAAGTTGTTACTTTATAATTCAACAATCAAAAATAAAAAGATATATATTTTTGTGAATAGACGGCGGGGGTGGAGTCTATAGATATGGCGTTCCTGCTACTTACGACTTAATGATCCTGTTTGAAAATAGGCCGCCATATATATATAATTTTTTAAATAGGCTTTCGATGCTGAATTTGCCACCCAATGTCAGCGTCACATCCGTGATACCTGTGGATTTTTTTTCCATTCAAAATCAGAATTTTAACTTTGGTTAAAATTAGATCAAATTGTAAGAAAATTTACAATTTATCAGTCAATACTTTTAGAAATTGCTTTACCAGTCAAAATTGTAAAAGAAAAAATTATGGAAAAAAAAAGAAAGCAAAATAGAAAAAAATACTGTGGTTTACTGAATTTGCTTAAAACTCTTGTAGTACTAAAATTCCAATTTACTTACTTATAATTTCAAAAATGTTGTAAAAACACCCCTCCAAGCAATCAACGCAGCCACCAACCGGAAATTCCAATGCCTTCATCTCCCTGGTCGGTGAGGAAGCTGGCAGCGTCTTTATAAGACCTAGATTTCATCAAACCGCCGGATATGTTATTGGCATCGAAGAAGGCTAGGGCACAAATTTTGGAGCATAAGAATAATTTAGAAATCGATAACAAGGTCAGGCATGTTTTTTTTATTACAATCCAATCAATTTCCTTGACTTCTACTTCTGGGTGAAGAAAATTGTTCGTAGTATTGAAAATGTAGTACAAACTTTTCCCTTGTGATTTTTCTATCAGATTGATTGGTTAAAATTGTTTGGTAGTGGTTGCATGAGAAATTTTGCTATAGTGTGTTCTAATTTGATCCAATTTTGCCATAGTTGTTTCTTGTCGTGTTTATGATATATGGAAATTCATTGTTGTTGATATTTAAAATAATGTTTGCGTTTCATTCTTTGTGTGTGGGAATGGATCTTCGGTAAATCAAATTTTCTGTAAGCATTATTAAATTAAACAAATGAGTTGAGGATTTGTGGAGTTTTCGAAAGTTGTAAAGGTGATTGGTTTCCAGTGGAGAATTTTTAGGGGGTGGAGGATTCCGACAGGAAGAGAAGAGAGGTGGGTGGAGAGCCTCGGGTCAGGAAGGAAGATAGATAGGGAAGGAAGAAGAAGATGGACGTGACGGCTGACATTTCATCCATGTCAACACCACATCAGCATGGGCGAGACATGGTGGCAAATCCGTACCGGAGGACTATTTCAATGAAAGTTTTTTTCTTGCAAGATAATTTTCAAATAAAATCCATTTAGAGTTGTAAAATGATAAGACATCAATGCAAAACTAAGAAAACTAATTTACCCACCATAAATTATTTTTAATCTTACATTTACTTATAATATTTTATAAATTGTCTTTACTAAAATAAAAATAAGATGATTACGGTGTAAATAAAGAAAAAATATTAATATTAGAATCTATCAAATTTAAAGTGATAGTAAATACAATAATAGAGGGCAAATTTTATAAATATTATATGAATGTATAAATATTGAAATAAATACAACATATTTTGTATTCATTAAATACATACTTAAATAATTAGATATATATAATACATGAGAAAGGGAGACAACAAAACAAGCACATCCAGCATAATTCATCTGAAAATTGAAGTCTCAAGAACAGTGTGTAGCGCTAAACAAGTCATTGGCTAATGAGCATATGGTTATTGATAAATGAAAAACTAAGAAAGAATTCAAATTAAATAATCAAATAAATCATATTGATTTCTAGGAATAGAAAAAACAGAGAAAACAAATAAGAATGTTGAAGTTATCTCACTGAATCGGAAACTTCATATGCCCCTTTTTTAAGGTAGGAGTGAGTAGGGTGGGGATCAAAGATTAATTTGCGTATGTGAGCGGACTTGTGAGTAAGAGAAGGATCCTCCTACGCCATAGTTGAATTTGAATACAGAAGAAAGGTTATGGAGGCCGTGCAGTTTCCTATCATGTTGGAAATTGGACAGAAGCCAATACAACACGTAGAAAGCCACTTTTTTTAGAAGTAAAAACCAAACGCCCCTCTCAAAAACTAATCCAAACGGAGCCTTAGACTATCTAATTTATTTAAATAAATTTCATAGCATCTTTTAGTTATATATAATCAAGTAGTAAGAGCATATGCAATGGCTTAGGTATAAATTTGTTTATATGAGAGCATATATATATATTGATATATTTTTTCATGCCCATTTATTTGTCTATAAAAGCATATTAAACAAATAAAGTTTAGATACATTTATTTAATAATTGCAAAGAGTTTGTTCACACCAAATGGGGCTACACCAGGATCAATGAATCCCGCTTTCCTTTCAATGATCGCCTCCTTTCTTTTACCATTTTATGCATCTCGTAAATTATAATGCGGACAAGAAACTAAATTTGATTAATACCATGACATAATAAACCACATATATAACTTCAAAACGAAGATGATTTGCACAAAGTTTGAGTCTGATGAGAAAATAAAAGGCACAAAAGAATGCTATAATATTTGTGTTTCAAGACCAAGTCTTGATAAAGTATTTGCACATTCACAATTTAGAAACCATTTAGTCATGACAACACACAATAATAGACATTAGGCAATTATGTATAGCAACAAAATAGATGTAAGAATGTGAAAAAATCAAAAAGAAAAGAAAAAGAAAAAAAAAAAGAAAAAAGAGACAATGCAGTGAAGATTGAAGACTCAAAACATATTGTGTTCTACTCTCTCTCCATCCCACATATTATGTAGCCATTGACGATTTTATTTTATTTTATTTCTCAATTTTTTAAGGTACTATATAATACTCCCTCAGTACTAGATAATTTGGGTCTATTAGAGTAGATACCGGAATTTAGTAAAATATAATCAATAAATAATTTAAAAAGTGTATTACTAAAAATCTTATTGTACAATAAAAATAATTATAGATTAAGATAGCTAGTTCAATTAAAATTAAGATAACTAGTTTGATTAATATTAAGGAAAATAGAAATGATGAAATTTAAAATGTCACTACCAGAAATTGTTTACTACCTTTCGGAAAATTGTTTCAGATTTTGAAATAGATCCGAGGTTAATTTTTTAAAGCCTCGGAATTCGCTTCAGAATGGGACCGGAGGAGTAAATCTCGTTGCCATTTTGGTGGTCTCGGAAAATAGTTTCGGGATTTTCGAGACCAAATCCGAAGAGGAAGTATGCAATTATTAAAAATTGTTTAACAAAATTAATTCAAATTTTTTCTCCCTCATCTGCTGCCACCGCCAGAGAAGGAGCGCCTGAAGAAGAAAAAAGAGAGGAAGAACAAGAAGCCAGCTTCGCCGCTGCTGCCGGAGAAGCTGGAGGAGGAGATCACGCCGTGCCCGCCGCCGTCGTTGCCGGAGAAGAAAGAGGAGAAGTAGAGATGCCAATGCTGTCACTGCCGGAGAAGGAGGAAGAGGAGGAGCAAAACCTGCCGCAAACGCTGTTGCACCGCCGCCATCGCCGTTGCCGCCGCCGCCGAAGAGAAGAAACAGCTGCCGGCGACCTTGTTAAGATTTGATTAAAAAATATTTGGATATATTTTATATTTATTATTTACTATATTTAGTTTAAGAAGGTGAAATTTGACTAATAATTATTCCATGTTTATTTGGAATGTAATCTCAATATATTTAGATGTTTCCCATTGAATAATTAAAAGGTCTTTGAAGTTTATCCAAAAGACTCTGCAGGGCCTCTCGTCTCTCCTCTGTTCTTCTCCATTGTCTACAACCTAGTTTGGTGACAATTTCTCTCTTGATTCGCAGCAGCATTTTGGTATCAGAGCATAGATATGGCAAACAACTCCGGATTGAGCATCTTGCAGCCGGAAATTCCAATTCTTTCGGGCGAAAATTATGAATTTTGAAGCATTAAGATTGAAAACGCTGTTCAAGTCCCATGATCTGTGGACTTTGTCGAGACCGGATACTTGGAGCAAGATCCTGATGAAGCGATATTGAGGGAGAATAGAAAAAATATTCCAAGGCGCTGTTCTTCATACAACAAGCAGTCCATGACTCAATCTTTTCGAAGATTTCATCAGCTTCAACATCAAACGAAGCATGAACACCTTGAAAATGGCATTTCAAGGATCTGCGAAGGTTCTTACCGTGAAGCTTCAAACTCTCAGACGTGATTTAGAAACTGCGCATATGAAGGAAGGAGAAACAGTGCAAGATTTTCTCACTAGAGTCTCTGGAGTCGTAAGCCAAATGAACTCCTACGGTGAAAGGTTAAAATTGTGGTTGCAAAAATTCTTGGAGTTTGACTCCAACTTTGATCATGTGGTTGCCGCTATTGAAGAGTCAAAGGATTTGATCACATATTCCTTTGATGAATTGATGGGTTCACTGCAATCCCATAAGCGAGGTTGAGCAGATCGGAGAAAAATACGAGAGAAAGCTTTTCATGTTAAAGGTGATTCATCGCAGCAGAAAATGACCGAAATATGCAGGCATTAGAGGACGTGGAAGAGATCGCTACCAGCGAGGAATGGTCGTGGAGAGGACGGGGAGATGCACACTTCAATGATCGGACCAATAATAAGCATGGTAACAATTTACAAGGCAATAGAAGTCATGTGCAATGCTATTATTGCAAAAGGTTTGGACATGTACAAGCTGATTGCTGGAAGCGAGAAAAACTGACTCGTTATGCAGAACAACGAGATGATGAACTCAATTTGTTTTTGACCAGCCGAGGTGATACAACCACTTCTAAGAACATATGGTTTGTGGATAGCGGTTGTTCTAATCACATGACAGGGATAAAGTCGTTGTTTAAGGAGATTGACGAAACTTACAAGTTACAAGTAAGGCTCGGAGAGCAGAGGCATCGTTGAAGTCAGGAATGATCGGGGTAATAAACAAATGCAAGTTGAGAGCAGAGGCATCGTTGAAGTCATGAATGATTTGAAGCTCCTTTATGATGTTTATTTTGTTTCTACGCTGACTCAAAATTTGTTGAGTGTTGGGCAACTCATTGATTGTGGATATGCCATTTTGTTCGACAATTCGTCATGCGTGATTAGACATAAAAATATTTGGTCAAGTGATTGTCAATATTCAGACGGCAACCAAATTATTTCCACTTGAAGTGTCGAAAGTTGATGAATGTGTACTTGGTGCCAAAGCAGCCTGCGAGTCTAAATTGTGGCATTTAAGGTATGGGCATTTAAATGTGAATGGTTTGAAATTGTTGAGTCAAAAGGATATGGTTTATGGCTTGCCTAAAATTGAATACTTGGAGTTATGTGAGGGCTGTGTTCTTGGCAAACAAGCAAAGAGATCTTTTCCGATAGGACTTTCTAGACGTGCATCTACTTGTCTTGAGCTTATACATGCAGATTTGGTAAGCCCGATGATAACAAAATCTCTCGGTGGGAGCAGATTCTTCTTGTTGCTAACCGATGATTAGAGTCGGATGAGCTGGGTTTATTTTCTACAAGCCAATTCAGAAACATTCGATATGTTCAAAAAATTCAAGGCTCTTGTGGAAAATCAATCCGGAAAATATGTAAAGGCGCTGCGTACAGACAGAGGTGGTGAGTTTGTATCTCACAAGTTTAATCATTTTGTGATGAGCATGGCATACAAAGAGAATTAACAGCCCCATACACTCCGGAGCAAAATGGTGTCGTCGAGCGCAAAAATAGAACAGTCGTGGAGATGGCAAGAAGCTTGCTGAATTCCAAAGGACTTCCAGATATGTTTTGGACTGAGGCAGTAGCGACAGCAGTGTATTTTCTTAATTTATCTCCTACAAAGGCTGTTTTGAACCGCACACCATATGAGGCTTGGAATCGAAGGACACCGAGAGTAAGCTTGATGAAAAATCAACAAAATGCATTTTTCTTGGCTATTGTTCACAATCCAAAGCCTATATATTGTACGATCCTATTGCGGGCAAAGTTATCATAAATAGAAATGTGGTTTTTGATGAAAAGCAAGCTGGAAGTGGGATAACAGCTCAGGGAACATTGCCGTTTGAGTTTTTGGTGAAAATGAGAGCATTGGAAGGGATATACAGCAGCTGCCTTCACCATATTCTTTAGGCTCGTCATCACCATCTTCACCTAGACTCATACCTGAAGGATCAAGAAGCAATTATGATGATGAAACTCCTCCACTCAGGTTTCGATCATTGGATGAAATATATGCAGATTCTTATTCTAAGTTTGTAGGTGATCCTATAACCATTCAAGAAGCAGTGAAGGGAGAAGAATGGCGTGCAGCGATGAAGGATGAAATAACCTCAATTCAAAAAAATAAGACTTGGGAATAGGTAGATCTTCCGGAAGGAAAAAAACCAATTGGAGTTAAATGGGTTTTTCGAACAAAATATGGAGCTGATGGAGCGACTTGTGGCCAAGGGGTATGCACAACATCAGGGAGTTGATTACGTCGACACTTTCTCTCCGGTTGCACGATTTGAGACAGTGAGAATCCTTCTTGAATTGGCTGCAAAATTAAATTGGCTGATATACCAATTTAGTGTGAAATTAGCTTTTCTAAATGGTGATTTAAAGGAGGAGGTTTATGTCACTCAGCCTGAAGGATTTATAATTGAAGGTAACGAGGAGGAGGTGTACAGCTGCACAAAGCCTTGTACGAGTTAAAACAAGCTCCGCGTGCATGGTATGAAAAGATAGATTCCTATCTTTGTGAAATGGATTTGAGCGAAGCAGGAATGAGCCCACATTATATGTGAAGAAGCAAGGTAAAAAATGATTTCTCATTCTTTGACTTTATGTTGAAGCAAATGAGAAACAATTCAAAAGGTTGATTGCAGGATTTATTTATTTGGCGTGTACACGTCCACACATTGCTTTCTCAGTGGGAGTACTTTCCAGGTTTATGCATTCCCCTCCACAACATCACTTTGGTGCTGCAAAAGGAGTGTTACACTATGTTGCTGGAACAGTCCAATTTGGATTATGGTATAGCCATGCATCCGATTTCAAGTTGATCGGTTATACGGACAGCGATTGGGCAGGCTGTTTGGAGGACAGAAGAAGCACCTCTGGTTACGTGTTTAGTCTTGGATCTGGTTGATATGTTGGAGTTCGAAGAAGCAAGAATCTACAGCACTTTCAACGTCTGAAGCTGAATACGCAGCAGCGACAACATCAGCCTGTCAAGCAGTTTGGCTACGTCGTATTCTTGCAGATTTTGCTCAAGTCCAATCTGAACCAACGGAGATATTTTGTGACAATAACGCAGTATTTCCATGTCGAAGAATCCAACCTACCATGGAAGGACAAAGCACATAGATATTCGAGTACACTTTATTCGAGATCTTGTGTCAATGAATTTAGTAACTTCAAAGTATTGCAGTACGCATGAGCAGGTGGCTGACATCATGACCAAGTCACTTACTCGAGACAAGCATATTCACTTCCGATCGAAGCTTGGTGTTTGCACTTTCGAATCAAGGGGGAGTGTTAAGATTTGATTCAAAAATAATTAGGATATATTTTATATTTATTAATTACTATATTCAGTTTTAAAAGGTGGATTTGATTAATAATTATTCCATATTTATCTTGGAATGTAATCTCAATATATTGAGATGTTTCCCCTTGAACAATATGAAGGACTTTGAAGTTTATCCAAAAAAGAAGCACTGCACGTCCTCTCCTCTCTGCTCTGTTCGTCTCCATTGTTTACAACCTAGTTTGGTGGCAATTTCTATCTTGATTCGCAACATGAACCACTGTAACATAGATTCATTTTCATATCTCTTTCTTACTCTTATATTTAATCATTAAAATTTATATTAAAATGAATGTTTTCATTTTGAAATAACAAAAATACTTCTGATTGAGTTGGTGTGGTAGGATAGTGCGATACTCCAGCCTGTAAAGCTACGCAAAGCCGGACGTATCGTAATTGTAGACTGGCCTCGTAGGTCAACACGGTCCTTCCAGCGCACTTATATGCCTTTAAATTGCTTTTAAAATCAATTATGTAGTAGCGTTTGCGTGGTAGTTTAAATATGATGTATTTGGTATCATTGTCAAGAAGTGAGAATTGTTTGAGAACTTGTCCTGTTTTTCTATTTCTGCGCCAACACAATCTTTCTAAAGATTGTAAATAGAAGCATACTACTGCTTATGTAGCCTTAGGCTATATTAGTTCTACGACTTTTGCTAATTTTGGCGAAGGGAAGCACAGTATCTCTAATGCATCAGAGTGCGTTCTATTTCAGTTCTTGTTGTGATTAGAAAATTAGTACAAAACATGCTTAATGTAATTATATTTTAAATGGGTTTTCTTTCCCTATTGTCTCCTCTCATTTTTATTTTTCAATCAGATTTTTTTGCTTATGTTTTTGTTGGTTAATCAATGTGATTCAAATCCTTCTAATTTTTCTTTCAACTACAACAGGAACTGACCATTCAACTTCTTAACTTTGTAGAAGCTGTTATACTGCATTTTCTACACAGAAAATGCTGTAGCCTATATATGTACACATTCCCCAGATTTTATCCCGCCGCAGGTAATCCTCTTACTACATCGTAATAATATAAAAGGGAAATTTATACTCCTACCTGGTAAAATCACTTTATATGATTTATGTACAACATTGTATTATATTGTTCTATACTTTTAGGCAGCGATAGCTCTATAAATATTTTTTACCGGTATCATTATATATAAACTTACAAATAAAATTAACTAATAGGTTTAATTTTATTAAAAAAACATACGAACAATTTATCTTTTTTAATTTAAATAGATATTAGTGACACTTCAAATTTTAATTAGGACACTAGAACTTTCCACTGGTAGCATATTTATTAAATTGTAAAAATTTCCCTAGTAAAATCACTCGTGACACAACTGTGATTTAAGAATACTTCCGCCGCCCTAACTTTTAGGTTATCCAAATATTTGCATGGATAGAAGTTTGTTACGTATGATTGCGGAAACTTGTCATTTCTTACACATTACACTTCTTTGTTTGACATACAATAATGAACATGCTATTTATTGTAATTGCGGATATAACTAACCCCTTTTACGTTTACCAATAAAATGGGATTCAATTAATTGAAAGTAGCTTAATTTTAGAAAATATTAACGGAAATAACGTCGGTATCCAAACTAAATTAACTACTCTATGTTTGATTCAATAAAGTCAAAATAAACTTTAAATATCTATTATTAAACCTTGATAAATTATTTTTGTCTAATTTTGGCGTATATATGTATATTCAAAATGTCAGTGTAATGTGTTCTTATAAGGTTCCCTTATGTACCAACAACACTTAGATTTGGATATATATATATATATTATGTCTCTTATATCTAATTTCTAGAGCTCAGAATTGTTTTAGGGATAGTTAAGGTCCTAATTGACTCTACTTATCACATAGTAAATGTATACATAAGATATGGCTAGAATTAATGCTATTATCATGCGTCGCCAGTCAATGCTATGTATAGTGCTACGTGTGATATATGATAAGATCAATGATGGCATGCATTGTCAGTATTGATACTATGTCAACATGTATTTTTGTGTTACAAGCAATTAGAGCACGTGCTTTGGGTCTTTTTATTATATAATAATTAGGATTAATTCTAATTAGCACAGTAAGTGCTGCTGTTTTAAATGTGTCAAGATGAACTAATGAACCTTTAAGGTGGTCCTAAGAAGTACCATATTCTCTCACTTTTCTTGGACAGGTGGGTTTCTGCAAGTTGATCTACTAGATAAACTGATGCTGAAAATATTTTCTATCAGATGCTGTATATATAAAATGTTGGAAGAGAGTTGCAGTCTCCAATATTCGACAAGTCTTGTGCATGTATACTTACTTTATGATACAAACATATTCTGTCACAGCCACTCGGTCTATTAATGATCACTCCAGCCTGAATTAAACTGCTAAAGTATGCTGTCTTAAGCCCTCCGCAAAGATCTTACATGAGGTAAATGTTGTTTAGCTACCATTGCCGAAATATATTCCAGTTCCTACCAGGTGGTCACGGAAATATATATGATTGAATAATATACTGCTATGCAGCTTATTTGCTTACTTCCTGTTAACATCCGATCTTGTCTTACAGATTTTGGCGACGAGGTTGGCATGGCCTGCTCATCCTAGCTCATGGAATACCAAGACCTCTAATACTAAATACGATGTCGCATTACAAGTAGTTGAGTTCAGATTTATTACCGCTCCGTATATATGCTTACATTCTTGATTCAAATTGAGATGTCAAATGTTAAGTTTTGCTCAGCACTACACTAATGGATCCCTGAATCCTCTACCATTGGTGACAAAGATCAAACTGGTTGTTTGTATTCCTACTAATGAAAATATGCGTAGATGGTTGAAGATTTCTTCTGAAGAATGAACATCAACAGGGCAGTATTAAATATATATAATTCCCCAAGAAACTTTGTAGTTTTCATTGAATCCCTAGTTAATCTTCGCAGCCAATGTAGAATGATGTCTGCGTTTTGCTAGCTCGCTCCACCGTCTTGCTTTAATAGCGTACCAAGACAAGACAAGACAAGGCATTAGTAATATATATATACATATATATTCATATGTATGGAATTATACAACTATAATTTGGGCCTGTATTATTATTTTCATCCTCTATAAAAATAACCTAAAGACAAGAAGATAAAAAATAGTGAATTGGGATTTTTTTTTTTGACAAACTGTCCATATAAAAAAATGAAAATCAAAGCCCTATTGGAAAACCCTAATTTGTGTGCAGCAAGAGAAGACGTGTTGCCCTTGCCCTAAACGAAGAACTGCAGTTGAGGCCAGGCGCCGCAATAATTATCAAAAATACCCTCTCTATAAAACCCCTGCGTCCATTTCCACTCTTCACACCCTCGAAACCCATTTCTTAGTTTGTATGGCCATTCCAATATCGCTGCTGGCAGACTTATATCTATATCTATCTATATATACCAAGGCTTCCCCTTGACGATATATACGTGAGGAAGTCATTTGTAGTGTCTTTTCTTTCTGTAAAACTCAGAATTGTTGATTTCTATCTTGCAGATCCCTTGAGTTGCGCTTTAATTCTCCGGCTCCTTAATTTGTCCATCTGAAGGTAATATATGGTTCCATGTTCTGGATGTGATCTCCATCTCTTTCTCTACTCTATCCTTTCTCTTTTCACAATCTCGACTTTTTCTTTCATGGAAAGTAAAACTAGGGTTTTGATATAAGAGTTGGTGGATTTTTAAATGATTTATTATGATTATTGTTTCATCGATTTGGGGTTTTTTCAAGGAAAGTGAACTTAAGGTTTTGATTTCTTGGTTGATCTACTTTATAAATGATTCTCTCATTAAAAAATTTAGAATCGATAAGATGAGCATCAGATCTAATTATAAGAAAACCACATCCCATTATTTTTATGATTTTTCTTACATTTTATTTTCTTTAAGTTTTTTTTTGTTTTTGTTAAAATTAGATCTGATCTAAGCTGTGGTTTTTCTTTTTTGGAAAATTATATACTCAATCCTATAGGGATGTCTTGGTTTGTGTTTGAACGCAGCTTAGGAAGATCCAAAGCAAATTTACACCGGCTGCTCCTAGAATACAACTCGATCGAGGGCGATCAAATCAGGACCACGATGGAGCAGAAGGTGTATGTTCACAATGGATAAATGGTGCCATATCTATGATCAGGTATCAATGAAAAAAGCTTATATAAATAATGTTAATATATATATATATATATCGGTTCTTGGGTTATTAAATCTTGGGATTTGGAGTGGCAGTTATTTTGAAACAATTTAAAGTGATTTTTGAATGTTCTTCTTTTCAGTAACATCTAGGTAAATCAAGTAAATCAAGGTTAAAAAAATCCAAAAACCAAAAAAGATGGCTTATAAACGTCATGAGGGCTCCATATCTCATCTGACAGAGAAGGAGTTATCACCGTCAATTCCCCGTTTTTTCCATGTACTGAATGATGCTCATGTCTTACATGCACTGGTACTCTCTCATTCATGTTGAATTTTTGGACTTCTTATTCTTAACCTTTGGGAGAATGCTGCTTGTAATCACATTGTAATATGTAGTGTCTATTATTATGGGATGTAAACATAGTTTGGCGAACAATTATTGAACTTTAAGTAATTTACTACATTACACAACTATCCTCTCATCACCCCCACAAACTTGTTGGGTACTAAGTTTTATAGTTTTAGGATGTTTAGTAGCAAAATTGTTGATATGTGTAGATGAAATTCTTTTATAATTTCTGCAATTTTTATAAAGCATGCATCCTTGTAAAAAATTTAATATTTTTGCAGCGCTTGCCATCTTCATTTGCTCCAAAGGTGGAGCACTTGGTGGACCAAGAAATCCTCCTTGAGGATTTATGTGGGCAGATATGGCCTGTGACTCTATCATATGTTGACAATGCATTATCATTCGCATTGGGATGGGAAATATTTTATAGGGACCATGCTCTTGAGGGGGGATGTTCCTTGATATTTAACTATGTAGGAGAGAGGCACATGTCTGTTCAAATATATGATCCAAGTGGTTGCGAAAGAACTTGCTTCACCTATCCAGTGCGACAACTGAACAATCAGAACTGCTATAATGTTGGGGTTGAGGAGATTTCTGAAATGGGATCAGCTCCTCGAACTGCAGCCATGGGGATGCCTCAAAGAAAGGGAGTCTCTATTTCCGATATCCATAATGGTGAGATAACTTCTACCTCCCTACTTATTTCCTCTAGTTTTCTAACGTTAACAATAGATTCAATGGTATTTTGTTTTCGTAAATATTGTCCTATTTCTTACATTTGTTTAGTTGCTTTAGTGAATAGGCTAGTGTTTATTTTCGTTTGTTCTCATGAGTAGCAGTGGTTGGTCTCTAAAATATGAATGTGCAAACAATCTATTAAGAGTTTGGTCTTGAAACATGAATATTGTAGCTATTTGCGTGTATGTTATTTTCCTTAACAGTTATAATCTGAAAATTATACCTTATGAAGTTGCATATGGGGTTTATTTTATGCCATGGTATCAATCAAAGCCAATTTTATATTAATCTTATAATTTGTTAGATACTATAAATGAGAAACGATATGGAAAAGGAAAAGGGAAAGAGAAAGAGCCAATCATAGGAAGGAAACTGATCCCTGCTAGCCCAAAGATGCCTCCCCCTGGAATACTTTTTGCTTTAGTTGTTTCCCTTATATTTGATCTTTGAAAGAATTTTAAATTCTTGCATTTGTAAATGAACGGAGTTGACATACTCTCTAGATATTTTTATTACTATGTGCTTTATGTCTTATTATCTTATTAGTTTTAACTACATTCGAGGAAAATAATATAAATTGCATGTCATATGGCTTTCAATATTTTTTTAGTTTAATATTCCATCTCAATGGTTTAGGGTTTGGGAAGCCGATGGGAGGTATTGCCAAGGAGAAAATGGGTGCCTCCGGGCAAGTAATCCTAACGAAGGTAGAACTTGTGCATGTAAAACAAGAAATTTGTTTGGAAGAGGAAATGGATGCAACCCCATCTGCAAATGCTAGCCACTCATCAAAGGACCCTATTAGCCCACCGCCCGTATAGTGTTTGCTTTCTTTATTTCACTATTAATTACATCCAATCTTTTGAAACATTCTAAATTCTTGCATTTGTAACGCAATAGAGTTGACACATTCAGATAGGAGCTCTATGGATCTATTCAACTGTAAGTCTTTCCCCTCCCAACCACCTGGATTTTAATATCGGTTCTGTGCTTAAAAACATGGTGTTGTGTGCATTTTTTTCTTAGAAGATGTGAGAGATTTGTGTTTTATTTGATCAAATGTGTGCTTGTTTATATGGGTTATGAATTGCTGGAATTGATCTATTTTGCTTTTTTGGCCATTGGGTTATGTTGTAATTAAATTTGAGTCCTACTGGTATTGATGTGTTTTATTGTTTTTTATTTGTTGGAATTGAGCCATGCTGCTTCCCATTTGTTGGTTTTGTTGTGTATTATTTCTCATTTCTTGGATATTGTTGGATTTATTTGAAGGCATAAAGTAGTATGGCTGGATTAATTATATTAATTTGAAGACATCCTAAATTGAAGTAAATTATCTATAAAATGAACACAACCCAATTTATTTATTTATTTTATTCATGTGAATTACATTGTTTGATCACCTAATCTATTTTTTGATGGTACAATTCTTTGTCAATATTATTCTTTTTCTCCATTTTAAAAACTATTGTATTTTAATGAGACAAATATACTCCTACGATTAAAAAAAGGTGGGTGTAATAGTATTTATGTAAAATAATTATAAACATAAGAGTATGTTTAATACGGAGTGTTGTCTACAATTACTAAAAAAAAAGTTGTTACTTTATAATTCAACAATCAAAAATAAAAAGATATATATTTTTGTGAATAGACGGCGGGGGTGGAGTCTATAGATATGGCGTTCCTGCTACTTACGACTTAATGATCCTGTTTGAAAATAGGCCGCCATATATATATAATTTTTTTAAATAGGCTTTCGATGCTGAATTTGCCACCCAATGTCAGCGTCACATCCGTGATACCTGTGGATTTTTTTTCCATTCAAAATCAGAATTTTAACTTTGGTTAAAATTAGATCAAATTGTAAGAAAATTTACAATTTATCAGTCAATACTTTTAGAAATTGCTTTACCAGTCAAAATTGTAAAAGAAAAAATTATGGAAAAAAAAAGAAAGCAAAATAGAAAAAAATACTGTGGTTTACTGAATTTGCTTAAAACTCTTGTAGTACTAAAATTCCAATTTACTTACTTATAATTTCAAAAATGTTGTAAAAACACCCCTCCAAGCAATCAACGCAGCCACCAACCGGAAATTCCAATGCCTTCATCTCCCTGGTCGGTGAGGAAGCTGGCAGCGTCTTTATAAGACCTAGATTTCATCAAACCGCCGGATATGTTATTGGCATCGAAGAAGGCTAGGGCACAAATTTTGGAGCATAAGAATAATTTAGAAATCGATAACAAGGTCAGGCATGTTTTTTTTATTACAATCCAATCAATTTCCTTGACTTCTACTTCTGGGTGAAGAAAATTGTTCATAGTATTGAAAATGTAGTACAAACTTTTCCCTTTGTGATTTTTCTATCAGATTGATTGGTTAAAATTGTTTGGTAGTGGTTGCATGAGAAATTTTGCTATAGTGTGTTCTAATTTGATCCAATTTTGCCATAGTTGTTTCTTGTCGTGTTTATGATATACGGAAATTCATTGTTGTTGATATTTAAAATAATGTTTGCGTTTCATTCTTTGTGTGTGGGAATGGATCTTCGGTAAATCAAATTTTCTGTAAGCATTATTAAATTAAACAAATGAGTTGAGGATTTGTGGAGTTTTCGAAAGTTGTAAAGGTGATTGGTTTCCAGTGGAGAATTTTTAGGGGGTGGAGGATTCCGACAGGAAGAGAGGTGGGTGGAGGAGCCTCGGGTCAGGAAGGAAGATAGATAGGGAAGGAAGAAGAAGATGGACGTGACGGCTGACATTTCATCCATGTCAACACCACATCAGCATGGGCGAGACATGGTGGCAAATCCGTACCGGAGGACTATTTCAATGAAAGTTTTTTTCTTGCAAGATAATTTTCAAATAAAATCCATTTAGAGTTGTAAAATGATAAGACATCAATGCAAAACTAAGAAAACTAATTTACCCACCATAAATTATTTTTAATCTTACATTTACTTATAATATTTTATAAATTGTCTTTACTAAAATAAAAATAAGATGATTACGGTGTAAATAAAGAAAAATATATTAATATTAGAATCTATCAAATTTAAAGTGATAGTAAATACAATAATAGAGGGCAAATTTTATAAATATTATATGAATGTATAAATATTGAAATAAATACAACATATTTTGTATTCATTAAATACATACTTAAATAATTAGATATATATAATACATGAGAAAGGGAGACAACAAAACAAGCACATCCAGCATAATTCATCTGAAAATTGAAGTCTCAAGAACAGTGTGTAGCGCTAAACAAGTCATTGGCTAATGAGCATATGGTTATTGATAAATGAAAAACTAAGAAAGAATTCAAATTAAATAATCAAATAAATCATATTGATTTCTAGGAATAGAAAAACAGAGAAAACAAATAAGAATGTTGAAGTTATCTCACTGAATCGGAAACTTCATATGCCCCTTTTTTAAGGTAGGAGTGAGTAGGGTGGGGATCAAAGATTAATTTGCGTATGTGAGCGGACTTGTGAGTAAGAGAAGGATCCTCCTACGCCATAGTTGAATTTGAATACAGAAGAAAGGTTATGGAGGCCGTGCAGTTTCCTATCATGTTGGAAATTGGACAGAAGCCAATACAAACACGTAGAAAGCCACTTTTTTTAGAAGTAAAAACCAAACGCCCCTCTCAAAAACTAATCCAAACGGAGCCTTAGACTATCTAATTTATTTAAATAAATTTCATAGCATCTTTTAGTTATATATAATCAAGTAGTAAGAGCATATGCAATGGCTTAGGTATAAATTTGTTTATATGAGAGCATATATATATATATTGATATATTTTTTCATGCCCATTTATTTGTCTATAAAAGCATATTAAACAAATAAAGTTTAGATACATTTATTTAATAATTGCAAAGAGTTTGTTCACACCAAATGGGGCTACACCAGGATCAATGAATCCCGCTTTCCTTTCAATGATCGCCTCCTTTCTTTTACCATTTTATGCATCTCGTAAATTATAATGCGGACAAGAAACTAAATTTGATTAATACCATGACATAATAAACCACATATATAACTTCAAAACGAAGATGATTTGCACAAAGTTTGAGTCTGATGAGAAAATAAAAGGCACAAAAGAATGCTATAATATTTGTGTTTCAAGACCAAGTCTTGATAAAGTATTTGCACATTCACAATTTAGAAACCATTTAGTCATGACAACACACAATAATAGACATTAGGCAATTATGTATAGCAACAAAATAGATGTAAGAATGTGAAAAAATCAAAAAGAAAAGAAAAAAAAAAAAAAGAAAAAAGAGACAATGCAGTGAAGATTGAAGACTCAAAACATATTGTGTTCTACTCTCTCTCCATCCCACATATTATGTAGCCATTGACGATTTTATTTTATTTTATTTCTCAATTTTTTAAGGTACTATATAATACTCCCTCAGTACTAGATAATTTGGGTCTATTAGAGTAGATACCGGAATTTAGTAAAATATAATCAGTAAGTAATTTAAAAAGTGTATTACTAAAAATCTTATCGTACAATAAAAATAATTATAGATTAAGATAGCTAGTTTAATTAAGATTAAGATAACTAGTTTGATTAATATTAAGAAAAATAGAAATGATGAAATTTAAAATGTCACTACCAGAAATTGTTTAATACCTTTCGGAAAATTGTTTCAGATTTTGAAATAGATCCGAGGTTAATTTTTTAAAGCCTCGGAATTCGCTTCCGAATGGGACCGGAGGAGTAAATCTCGTTGCCATTTTGGTGGTCTCGGAAAATAGTTTCGGGATTTTCGAGACCAAATCCGAAGAGGAAGTATGCAATTATTAAAAATTGTTTAACAAAATTAATTCAAATTTTTTCTCCCCCATCTGCTGCCACCGCCAGAGAAGGAGCGCCGTAGAAGAAAAAAGAGAGGAAGAACAAGAAGCCAGCTTCGCCGCTGCTGCCGGAGAAGCTGGAGGAGGAGGAGATCACGCCGTGCCCGCCGCCGTCGTTGCCGGAGAAGAAAGAGGAGAAGTAGAGATGCCAATGCTGTCACTGCCGGAGAAGGAGGAAGAGGAGGAGCAAAACCTGCCGCAAACGCTGTTGCACCGCCGCCATCGCCGTTGCCGCCGCCGCCGAAGAGAAGAAACAGCTGCCGGCGACCTTGTTAAGATTTGATTAAAACATAATTTGGATATATTTTATATTTATTATTTACTATATTTAGTTTAAGAAGGTGAATTTTGACTAATAATTATTCCATGTTTATTTGGAATGTAATCTCAATATATTTAGATGTTTCCCATTGAATAATTAAAAGGTCTTTGAAGTTTATCCAAAAGACTCTGCAGGGCCTCTCGTCTCTCCTCTGTTCTTCTCCATTGTCTACAACCTAGTTTGGTGACAATTTCTCTCTTGATTCGCAGCAATTTTGGTATCAGAGCATAGATATGGCAAACAACTCCGGATTGAGCATCTTGCAGCCGGAAATTCCAATTCTTTCGGGCGAAAATTATGAATTTTGAAGCATTAAGATTGAAACGCTGTTCAAGTCCCATGATCTGTGGAACTTTGTCGAGACCGGATACTTGGAGCAAGATCCTGATGAAGCGATATTGGGGGAGAATAAGAAAAAATATTCCAAGGCGCTGTTCTTCATACAACAAGCAGTCCATGACTCAATCTTTTCGAAGATTTCATCAGCTTCAACATCAAACGAAGCATGAACACCTTGAAAATGGCATTTCAAGGATCTGCGAAGGTTCTTACCGTGAAGCTTCAAACTCTCAGACGTGATTTAGAAACTGCGCATATGAAGGAAGGAGAA